CGTGCTGGCTTTGTTGTTCCTTCGAAGGTCACGCTTCTTCAACAACTGCAACGTCCGAACAATAGGACTTGCAAGATCAACTTGTAAGAAAGTTGACCTACCCCCTTTCAATCAAGAAGTTTGATCAAAAGTTATATCCTTCAACGTGGTGTGGTACTTGAGGCAAGGAAACCTTCAAGTGTTTACACTGTAGCTCTTTAGAAGGAGGAGGAGTTTGCTTCTGGATAAGGAGTTTAGAAATCTCTCTTTATCAAGCTTTTTGAGCTTACTGTGACTAAGATAGATTTGTTGTTAGAGATTGCTTCGTTGTGTTGTTGTATGTCTTCTCCAATCTTCCAATGGTGCTATTTATAGCTGGATTGGATAATCTATCCGTTGAATCATAATAGACTATCCGTTGCATTTGCTGGCTTCAATTTTGAATGAAGATTGTGATTTGAAGATTCCACATTGGAATGGGTGTTTGGACATACCCAATTGTTTGAGGAGGGATTCCTTTTTCCACAGAATCCGTCTTCTAGCTGTTGTTCAAGAATTCAAGACTGTAGCACTTTACTCTGTTTGTCTTCTAGTGCTTGTTTAGGAATTCTGGGCAGGCTCTTTAATTTTAGAGGTCCAGACTTTGTCTTCGAGTAATTTGTTCTTGAATCAGCATAATTGTCTTCAATCTAGCCGTTGAAAATCAAGAGATTGATTTTTCCTTACCAACGGGTAGAATTTCTTCATTCAAGACTTAGATAATTTTTTTTAAGTCTTTTCTCACTTGTCCGCTTTCTGAGAATTCCGGTCTTCAATGAGTCTTCCGATTCTTAGCTGACAAATCTGGAGGAGTCATTCTCAGACTTCCGGGTGAGAAAGAGATCTGCGCTAGTCTTCCGATTTTGGATGACTTAGCCTTCAGCGGGTTGTAGCGAGACATCCAGTTCTTATGTAATCTTCCGGATCAGAGGATTTTCATTTGCTTGAGAAATCCTTACTTGTCTCTGACATTTCCGATCAAGATATCCAATTTCCATATCACTGAATTTCCATATCACTGAATTTGATCAAAAAGTTGTATCCTTCAACGTGGTGTGGTACTTGAGGCAAGGAAACCTTCAAGTGTTTGCACTATAGCTCTTTGGAAGGAGGAGGAGTTTGCTTCTGGATAAGGAGTTTATAAATCTCTCTTTATCATGCTTTTTGTGCTAACTGTGAATGAGATAGCTTGGAAGTTTTCTTTGTTGTGTTGTTGTATCAACGTATCTCGTTATCATTCATATCTTCTCCAGTCTTCCAAGGATGCTATTTATAGCTGGATTGGATAATCTATCCGTTGAATCATAATAGACTATCTGTTGCATTTGCTGGCTTCAATTTTGAATGAAGATTGTGATTTGAAGATTCTTCGTTGAAGTGGGTGTTTGGACATACCCAATTGTTTGAGAAGTGATTCCATTTTTCTCAGAATCCGTCTTCTAGCTGTTGTTCAAGAATTCTGAACTGTAGCACTTTACTCTGTTTGTCTTCTTGTGCTTGTTTAGGAATTCTGGACAGGCTCTTCAATTTAGAGGGCCAGACTTTGTCTTCGAGTCATTTGTTCTTGAATCAGCATAATTATCTTCAAT